ATGTGTGGCGGCGTGGTGTTGCTGCGCGCGTTGGCGGTCATGCTAGCTGGTGCGCGCCGTGTGTGTGGGTGCGCGTGTGATGCGCGTGCGCGCGCGTGTGTTGTGAATGTGTGTGTGTGTGTGTGTGTGTGTGTGTGTGTGTGTGTTTGTGTGGGTGTGTGCGGTGCGTGTCGTGTGTTGTGGTGTCAGTGCTCCAGTGGTACATTAATAGCGATGCATGAGCGAGCAGCAGGCCTGCAGCGCCTACCGACAGACATGCTTTCCCATCCAAATGGCTTTCACTGAACCTAATTACAAAAGCCGAACTCAGACATTATAACGGGAATCATTACGGTGCGCAATTGTAGGGAAGACAACAGATGACAACGCATCGTAGACGTGCCGATTCAGCTGAGCGTCTCGAGACGCTTGTGTGCTGTCTGCAGCCTACTCTAGAGCAGGGCGTATAGCTACCATTAGGCAATAGGAGGCAAATGCCTCCTACAAATCTCTCAAAAATCTTTTTTTTGCCCCATACCCCACGCCCTATTGGCTCGCTTCGCGCCTTGTTCTTTAACTCACAACATTTCCTCCTACAAAATTTACCTCTGGCTACGCGGCCTGCTCCAGGGTAAGTAGTATTTGCTATTTTGGCCTCGCTAGCAGAACTTCCTTAAATTTTGTCCAGTGACTAAAAACGATTTAATTGCTACTGTAGATTTGTGATTTTTCGAGATAAGTGAATAAAATTAACCGTACCAGCAACAATCACCCGCGTGTAAGCAAATTAAGGCCATCTTTAGACAGGACACATTTGCCTATCATTCAATAGAGAAATATGAACACGATATCACACACTGAAGAAGAAGAAATCGAATTCAGTAAACGTTGTTGCTGTGGCCATAGTTAAAACCCGCCATCGTTATTTAAAGGACCAGGTGTGTGAACCTCACGTGCAAGCATACCACGGTTGCCCGCACTGGCGGACGCATGAATTTCCAAACTGAACAGTGGTCTGATGATGTGTCAATCGGCTCTCCTGGGTTCCAGTGGGACCAGACAGTCTAGGATATTGAAATTTCTCCACAGGAATGATCGATTTTGCATCAAGTGGTAGTCTCGCAAGTGGCGCGCATTGGGAAGAGTTTGTTGCTGTGACGTTGCGGCTTGTTTCTTGGTCTAGACAAGTGTGTTCCACGCGGTGGTCAGCAATGGGTAATGCAGACGAATGGGCATAAACCGCAGGCCTGTGCGCACTGTGTTCTCCTTAGAACCTGCTAATACCCGAATAACTTCCATCTTCGTCACACTCAGTAAAGGTTACGCACGCACACGCACACGCACAAGCACACACACGAGCGCGCGCGCGCCACACACACACACACACATCACACACAGCAACACACACACACACACCGCTAGGCACACACTATTTGTATATATATACTATATATATATATATATATATCAGGAGTAGATAATAGGGTCTATTATCTACTCCTGATATATATAGGTGTATTCCATAACTACACTATATACACTAAATCACACACTATGGGGTACTGGTCCTATCACCACAAACATGCAAACGTAAGCTTTTTAGATTTTTATTAAATATCACAATATTTGGGTTAGTTAGGCGCATGCATGCAAGTAGAAAAAATTTAACCGAAAACAAAACATACATGTCCCATCCAGTCACCTCTTTCTTGATAACTTTGATCCTGAAGCATAAACATATAGACACATTACCAATAAATAAACACAGCTAAGAAAATTCAAACAAAACCCGAATAATACAAAGTCATAAGTATAGACAGCGTTTACACTGTATAACATAAAGCTGCGTAGCAATAGCCATTTCTCTAAATAACAGAAATACACATGCAAATATTTGGCTACACTGTTACGGCAAGCACAATTAATTACATTTTCTATTTCTATTACAAAACACTGATACATTAGACAATAGGAGCGAAGTGTCGATGGTAAGAGGAAAACTGCGGAGAATGCTGCAAAGGGCAGTTCGCTTTCTCAGCTTAACTTTCAACCTACTTTTTGTGGAAGCTTTTGGCAAATCCGCGGCGGTTACAGTGACTAACAGCTGCGCTTTTGTTTAAATTATTGATGCGTGCAAACATTGATAGAACTAACTTCATAGATGCCATAACAAATGCTTGAAACCCTACAAGAGCCAATTTTACGATTTGATGCTTGAATGTAGTTCGCATGCGAGTCACTAATGAGATAAAAGATCGCAAATTGATAATTAAACCTATTATAATTATCGCGCGCGCGAGAGAGAACAATGATTGCAATTAGTGGGAGCGTTACAGCTGTATTTCAATATCAGAGAATACGCCATGATAAGTGGCAAGTTTGCCAATTAACCGCAAATTGCGTGAGATCGGCCACACTTAGTACACTGGCAGCTAGTGGAACTGTGCGCTGTCTGTGAGCATGCTCGATTTTACCAGATTTCTGTACATATAACTAACTCGAATGCATGTCGCTTGGCAAGGTGATACGGGCGACAACAGACGTGAATTTGCCCATCTTCATTAGTGTTCGGAACTTTATGCACTTGGTAGCCACAAACGCGGAAGACTTACAGAATTGACACTGGTGAAACAACGTCACGCGAACTCGATATACGATATATATATATACCTTTTCCCCCGACTAACGCTGGGTTCCCCAGCTATAGTATATATATATAAATATATATAATAAATATGTGTTTTGTCAGGGGTTGCGCGCGTGTGCGTGCGTGCGTGTGCGTGGGTGTGCGTGCGCGTTTGCGGGCGCGTGTGTGTAGTATATACACTATATGCAGCGTATTCTAGGACATCTACAGGAATGATAAAATAGAGCATCTCTATTGCGTCACTCCTGATATCTGTGAGTGTATACAGAGATCCGTTCTGCGCGGGAACCTCACCGGTTTCGCCGGCAAAACTGCACCCGAATGTGGAAAAAAATGCAGACGATTTTATAGGGGATAATTCAATTTCCAGAGTTAAAGATCGCCGGCCAGCTGCTGCTATCACCACGGTCGACTATGGTAAACTCACACGGATGCGAGCCTCTCATCACGCGTGGAAAACCTCTCACGGCACTAGGCACGGATTATGCACACCGACGACTACACTCTGTTAAACGTTTAGCTGTGTTTTTAGGGCTGCGGCTCAACAATAATCTCATCTGATTGAAATATGAAAGCTATTTATATAGAGATTGTTGGCGGTGGCCAATTGAAACTTCGTCGACACCGTATGCACGCGTGGTGAAAGTTTGTAGCGCACTAAAATCTAGAGTGCTACGAACGGAATCAAGCGGATGCTGCTGCATTTCAGTGCAAATTTGAAGACAATTACATCACGAAATGAAGGCGCGTAGCAATTTCGGGACAGAGACTGTACACTGAGATAATAACGAAACTGCATGGCGCAGTTATCATCGCAAAGCGAGCGTGAACACCACTAGCTTGCTGGCCTTGTACGCTGCCGTTCACCATGCAGATGATTCGTCTCGGTGCATGCAGAGACGGCCTGTTGAGCTGCTTGGTTGCTCTATGCCCACAATTAAAATGTCTCGGTTTGGGATAACGAAATGGTAAGAAAACAAGCAGGTGCACGTTTACAAGTTTCATTAGGGTAAAAAACGTACCCAGTCGAAAAAATGTGTGCATGTACATTGAGGCCATTTTTTTAAATCCTCGCGCGGATAACGATCGATTTCTGACATTGAATGCAGATTCCCAGAAATCACCACAACAGATTATGTGGATTACGTAAACTAAGACACCGTCTGAAATGCAGCGACGCGAGATCAACTAAACAAGAGAAATGCAGGATCGGTTACCCGTAGCCAGTGTTCTACGACAGCTATAAGCTGCACTCCATAGAATAATAAATGCTTTATAATGACACGTCAATAAAAATCATCTGAACCCCTCCCCCTCGCCGTCACCCGGCACCGACAGACCACGTATTGACGTAGCAAAATACTATCCCGACATATGTGCACGCAAATATCGCACACTCCTTCATCTGCTTCTTCTCCTCCTCCTCACCCTTCTCGTCCTCCATACACACATAAAGCACGCACGCACAGGCGCACACACGCACGCACGCACACGCACGCACGCACGCACGCACGCACGCACGCACACACTCACACACACACACACACACACACACACACACACACACACCACAACACTCGATACGGACGCATGGCGGCACACACACTAGCCACACAATAAGCGGACCACGCGCACGCACGCGCACACGCGCCACGCAACGCACGCAACTCAAATGCGCAGCAGTACACATGTGTCAGCCAAAGTTGGCTCAACGAATGGAGTCATATTTCTAGTGTTGTACCACGTAATTCGTATAGGCTGAATTTTCCTTAAGCAAGAAGAAGAGTCACTTCAATGTCCTTACTGGCACCTTACTTGATCGGAGCTAGTGAGTAAGCACTGTCATCGGAGCGAAGCAGCAGAGTACAGAAGTAGACCAAAAAGTGACAGGCACACCACCATAATAATTATAATATCATAATCTTCATTGATCATACATCATCATCATCATCATACTCATTCATCCTCATCATTAATTAGCAGCAACAGCGCAGGGACCACCAGTAACAGACCACATCCAAGCACCAGCTCGCAGATGACATCAGGAGCAACAGTAGCAGAAGAGCAGGAGCACAGGTAGCAGAATCAGCAGCGAGCAACAGTAGCAGCTTGTGTAAGCACAGTGAGCAAAGTAACAGAAGCGCAAGGAGCAGCAGTAGCAGTCCTTGAAGCAAACAGGAGCACAGTAACATATCAGCAGGAGCAACAGTAGCAGTGATTTTTTAAGAAGCCAACAGGAGCCAACATGTAGCAGCTAGATTTTTTAAAAGCAAAGGAGCCAACAGTAGGCAGCTGAGAAGCCAACAGGAGCGCACAGTTTAGCCAGAAGCAGCAAGAGCAGCAGTAGCAGCTAGGAAGCAACAGGAGCAACGTAGAGCAGAAGCAGCTAGAGCAGGCACAGAGTAGCAACAGTAACAGAAACTCAGCAGGATGCCAACAGATAGCAGCTAGATTTTTTAAGAAGCAACAGGAGCCCAAGCAGTAGGGGCTAGAAGCAACAGGAGCAACGAGTAGCAGAAGCAGCAAGAGACAACGTAGCAGCTAGAGCAACATTTAGCAACAGTAACAGACAATCAGCAGGAGCCAACAGCGCAGCTAGAAGAACAGTAGCCAACAACCAATAACACACATACATAAAGACAACACAAACCAAAAAAAAAAAAAAAAATAAAAGACTCAGCAAGAGCCACAGTGTAGTCATCAAGCAGCAGGAGCAACAGTGGCAACAGTAGCAGAAGCGCAGCGAGAACAGGCTAGCTAATCAGCAGGCGACAAACCGTAGCAGAGAAGCGCAAAGCAGCAACAGTAGCAGCCTAAGAGCACAGGCAATAGTAAACAGAATCACAGGAGCAAACAGTAGCAGAGCCCGCAGATTCCAACAGTCAGCCGCTAGAAGAACCAGGACAGAGAACAGCTAACAGAGATTTCACGCGAGAGAACCAGTAACAGCTGGATTTTTTAAGAACGCACAGAAGCACAGTAACGAGATCAGCAGGGACGCTAACAGTAGCAGCTAGAAGCCAACAGCGCAACGAATAGCAGAAGCGCAAGAGCCATTACAGTAGCACGCTAGAAGCAGCAGGAGCCACATAAATAATGCAGGCAGGCAGCAACAGTAGCAGAATCAGCAGGGCACAGTAGAGATACAGCAGGCTCAGCAAACGCGAGTAGCTAGAATCAGCGGCGCAACGTAGCAGGATCGCAGGCCGCAATCAGTGGCACAGTAACGATCAGCAGGGGAGCAAACCGCAGCAGAAGAAAGCAGTAGCAGCACGTAGCACGAGAGCAACGGCGGCACAGTAGCGGCATAGCTGCCGCACAATGACAAGCCGGCAGTAGCGTGCAGCAGCTATCTTTAAGTCACAAATTGGTACAACACGCCACCACAAGCCCGTGTTGAAAAACTCAAACGGACTAAGAAACCGAAAGCTCAAAGCAAATAGAATCGACACTTTATCATATCGTTTTACCGCTAATTGCTCTATAAAACCAATATAATAAAGAAGCGCAGCGACCTATAGAAGGCTTCCAAAAAGCCATTCCAGGGTGCTTTAGAAAAACTGTTCTAAAAAGGTGAAGTGGATTTGGATGGGTTTGCTGTTATTGAAGTAATCACGAGGCGGATGTTCTCACGTGAAAAGGCTTTGAGTTTATATCGGGGTGTATTATCAGCGATATGTCGCATTCTTATTCAAGCCCGCTGAACCTTGCACCAAATTATAGCCTGAAGGGACTGAGCCACATGCTAACAGTGTATAACGAATAAATACAACACCATATACACCGTAGGAATGAAAGTAGCAGGCTTATCAGAAAGACTGTGAGGAGAGAAGGGCAGAGAGAGCGGAGAAAGAGAGAGAGAGAGAAGAGAGAGAGAGAGACGAGACATAGAAGAGACAGAGACTAGACAGAGACGACGCAGCGACAGGAGACAGAGAACAGAAACGAGACAGAGAGAAGAGAGAGAGAGAGGGAGAGAGAGAGAGAGGAGAGAGAGAGAGAGGAGAAAGAGCAGAGAAAGAGAGAGAGAGGAGAGAGAGAGAGAGAGAGAGAGCAGGAGAGCGAGAAGAGAGAGGA